CGCCTTTGCCCAGAGATCGCGCATGTCTCCTGTTGCGGAGCCATTAAGATTGTAGCGAAACGCAAATGCCAACGCGTATCTGTACAGCACCCCCATTCACTTTTGAATTGCCCTGGCTGTTCTTTGCCGACTTTGGAACCCAACCAGTACATAGGACGAACCGTCGCCGACATGCCCTGCGTCATAGTGATGCAGTCGACCCCACACGTTATTATCCCCCCTCCCCCCCCCCCCCCGCAACACCCTGCCTGACGATGCAGTCGGCCATGTACGTTGTTTGCACCCGTCCCCGCACCCCGCCCCCCCCCCCCGACATGCCCGACGTAATCATGACGCAGTCGACCACGTACGTTATTATCGACAGCGTGCCCAACGTCATGATGATGATGGTGGTGTGATGATGATGATGATGATGATGATGATGATGATGATGATGATGATGATGATGATGTGATGATGACGCGGATGGTCCCGGTGATGATGGTGGTAATGATGATGATGATGATGATGATGATGATGATGATGATGATGATGATGATGATGATGACGAGGTGTGACGATGCTGAAAACCCTCAAAAATCCAAGGGGAGGCCAATTTTGTGTGAAGGTTGCAAAACCTGGGGGAAACAACGTTGCAAGGTCCAAAAACGCAAGACACACCACGGGCAGTTATGCCGCCGGTGCCAACAACGGCAACAGCAACAGCAACAGCAACAACAACAGCCGCAGCAACAACAGCAACAGCAAGAGCAGCAACAGCAACAACAACAGCAACAGCAACAACAACAGCAACAACAACAGCAGCAGCATCAGCAACAACAACAACAGCAACAACACCAACAACAACACCAACAGCCACAGCAACAGCAGCAACAGCAACAGCCATAGCCATGGCCACAACCGCGACGACAACGACAACGACACCAACAACGTCAACGACAGAGACATCGACGTCGGCGTCGACAAAGACAACGACAACGACGTGACAACAACAGCAGCAACAGCAACACGAACAACAGCAGCAGTAACGGCAACAGCAACAGCAACTGCAGCAGCAGCAGCAGCCGCAGCAGCAGCAGCAGCCGCCGCGGCAGCAGCCACGACAGCGACTGCGAGAGCGACAGCGACAACGACACCGTGAACGACGCCGACAACAACAGGGAGAACGACGCGGACAACAACAGCGACAGCTACAGCGACCTCGGCAACAACAACGACAGCAGCGACAGCAGCAACAACAACAACCAACAACCAACAACCAACCAACCGACCCACCGACCAACTAGCCAGCCAGCCAGCCAGCCAGCCAACCCACCAACCAACCAACCAACCCACCAACCAACCAACCAACCAACCAACCAACCAACCAACCAACCAACCAACCAACCAACCAGCGACAACAACAACAGCAGCCGCAACAACAACAACAACAAGAAAGCAACCGCAACCACAGCGACAGCGACCGCGACCGCGACCGCGACAGCGACCGCGACCGAAACTGGGACAGCGACAGCGACAGCGACACTGGCAGCGACAGCGACCACGACCGCGACCGTGACCAGGAGAGCGATTGCCGCATAAAGAACAGGAACAGGAACAGAAACAAGAACAAGAACAATGTTAAGGTTAAGAACGACAACCGCAAAAGCACCAGCAGCGCACTAATACCAACACCCGCAACAACACAACGACACAACAGCGCAACAGCGCAACAACACCAAACAACAAAACAACCAAACGACAAAACAATAAAACGACAAAGCAACACTGCAAGAAGGCAAGAGAGAAGAGCAAGCAATAAAGAGCAAACAAGACAAGACAGCAACAAAACAAGAGAATACAAAACAACACCAACAGAACAGCGCAACAGAACACGAAAGAACGCAACAAACTATCGCACCAGGAAAGCACCGAACAACAACACAACAAAACAGCGACACAACAACGCAACAACACAACAACACAACAAGAACAACAACCACCACCACAACGACAGCAGCAGCAACAACACCAACAACCACAGCCAAGACACCAAACAACAGCAGCAACCCCAAGAAGAACAACAACCGCAAAAACAAGATCAACAGCAATTGCAACAGCAACAACATCAACACCAATTGCAACAGCAACGGCCAACGGCAACCACATAACCAAGTACAGCAGCGCCAAAAGCAGCAACAACCGCGGCAGCGACAGCTTCAGCGACAGCAACGACAACAGCAGCGGCAGCGGCAACAGCAACAGCAACAGCAACGGCCACAGAGGACAACAGTAGCAGCAACCAAAACATCAACAGCAACACAGCAACGACAACGGCAACAGCAACAGCAGCAGCAACGGCAACACCACTGGAAGAAGAACAACAGCAACAGCAACAGCAACAGCAACAGCAACAGCAACAACAACAACAACAACAACAACAACAACAACAACAACAACCAATGAGCGTTTTCCGTCTGCAGGGCTACTTGAAAACCCAGGATGTGGTTGACGCGCTTCGCTTTCAAAGGCACGCAGAAAATCCATAGAACATCTGAAGCATGTTGTTTTGGTACGCCCATGTAGTTGCTGGCACCTCTACTCCTGGCAAGCGTGAGCCAACGCGTGTGCAATCGCATGGAGATGCCAGGGGCAGGCGCGCCGCTCAGCGCGTGTGCGCGCTCCCTCCTGCTCAGCACTGTACCCACGCCTGCCAATGAGAAGAACGCCCCATGGCGTGCACGCAGGCAGCGGCGCCTGTGTTTCTACTGGCAGGGGCGGACGCAGCGCCGAGCAAGCGCGTGGGCCCGACAACGACAACAACAATAGCAATAGCAACAGCAGGGTCAGCGACAGCAACATTAAAACGCAGCAGCAGCAACAGCAACAGCAACAACATCACCATCACCAGAAACATCAGCGCCAGCGCCCCCACCACCACCACCACGACCACTGCAACCGCCGCCAAAAACAACAGCCAACAACAGAGGCAGCAACAAAACAGCAACATGACCGGGGCGCTTGCTACCACTACAGCTACAACTGCGACCACATTTGCACCGACGGCCAAAGTTGTAGTTGTAGCGGTAGCAGGTGCCCTTGTGATTGTTGCTTTTGGCTTAACTGCGAGTGCTGCTGCTGCAAATGTTGTTGCGGCTGTTGTTGCCGTTGTTGCTGCTGCTGCTTCGGCTGCTGTTTGCTACTGTTGTTGCTGCCGTACTGCTGCAATGGACAATGTTGGGCCAACAGCAACAACATTGTCAATTGCAGCAGTGCCAGCAGCAGCAACAACAGTAGCAACAACAGCAGCAACAACAGCAGCCGCAGAAGCAACGACGACAACACAAGACCAAGACGACAAGGACAACGAGAACGTCGACAACAACGACAAGGCAGCTGCAACAGTTGTAGCAACAACATGCAGCAACCAAAAACAGTAGCAACAGTAACAGCAGTAGGATCAGCAAGACAACAGCAGGAACAACAGCAACGATGACAAGGTAGTCAGAACCAGACCTGATGCTTTGCTTGGCATTGGACTTTTCCTAGTAACAGCAGTAGGACCAGCAAGACAACAGCAGGAACAACAACAACGATGACAAGGTAGTCAGAACCAGACCTGATGCTTTGATTGGCTTTGAACTTTTCTTTGGGCTGTTGTGATGCTCCTTGAGCAGTCTGAATCGCTTTACCAAAAAATCAATGCTCTTGGCTTCAGTTTACTTGATAAATTTTCAGTTCCAGGTGGAATCTCTTCGATTTCTTCTGCCTGCTGCTGTCCATCTCTGATGTCACGCTGGTTTTCTTGGTCATGGCAGAGGCCGTCAACTTTTCCATCGGCTCCGCCTCGGTGATCAAGGCGGGCTATGTGTTGAGCAGCGTCCTAGCCCTCACACTTGTGGCACGTGTGGGTTTGTTTGAAAGTAGGAAAGCTCTCTTGAGTGGAATCTTCGGAGTGCTCGGGAATGAATAGATTGCCCCGTGGGTCGGTGGTTGCGGCATGCTGGCTTGCGATATAGTCAGGCGAAGAAGAACAGCCGATTGATTAGCAGGACAAGAATTAGCAAGAACACGTGGAAAAAACATATTATGATCACGAGGCACACAGCCAAAGCAGCTAAGTCCATCGAACCCCCCCGCCGACCTTCACCTTTGCCAAATATCGGGGACCCGAATGGGGTGATTTCTTGCCAGTTTCCGTTGAACCTGGCAAAACGTGTTAGGGTATGTGTCACAGGATCTTCCCCTTCATTCAGTGGGATTCCGATGGGATTTGGGGATTTGGGTTCAGTTCGTAAATTTCAGGGGATGGCTTTGGATTTCTAGAGGCTTGGGAAACGCTCAAACATCGCGCCAGGAAGCTAGGTGCTCCTCGAACGGGATTTGTGCCATGACCATCTCACTTGGCGAGTTAAGAACCCAGGTTAGGATACGCCCAGAAGTGGGCTCTACGTAGAGAAAGTCCGAAGTTGGGGGCTGTTCCCTTGCAGACTGGCAAACGAGTCCTGAAATGTGTTTTGGTTGGGTTCCATGTTTATCTGCAGTGGAGCAATCGCAAGACAGCATAAATCCCCATTGGAGACATTGCTAGGTGGTTCTACTGCCTGCATGTGGTTTTAAACCACCCTGGTAGAACAAGTTGATGGGTTCTGGGCACTGCTCAAGCGGGCTTGTCTCAAGAACGGCGAACCCCTCAAAATAATGTTCTTTCCCCCCCACAGCTGAAAGCGATGGGCTAGATAGGCTCCGGGGCAGGATCCGCGAGGGTTCTGCGATGGTTTTCTGCAATCCTTTGGTTTGCCTTCAAAGGTCAACAAAAGACACACCCCAGTGGGATCATCCCCATCCAAGGTCGCCCGCCTGGCGCGTTTGATGCGCTTGATCCGGACGCTGCACTTCGAGTTCTTCTCCGAGCTGCGGACGACGCCCGGCGCATGGTGGATACGGAGGGTACCACGACCATGGGTGGGGAGTGGGGCCTGGAACCTGGAACGTATGGAGTTTGTCTCAGAATGTTGGGATGGAAACCCTCTGGGAATTGGACCAACTCGCCTGGGCAAGATCTTGTCCAGAAGGAACACCTCCTGAGGTAGTTTGTTCCCTTTGGTTTCCCTCAAAACCACTCTCGCACCCGTTGTCCAAGGAGCTGCCTCCAAAAGCCTCTTGTCTAGTTCCACGATTGTTGGACAGAGGGTAGACGTCCTTTGAACCGTCAGTTAAGGTTGAACCCGGATTCTGATGGGTCCACTGGTTCAGTTTGGTCGTAGTAATCTTTGACTGGTGGTATGGGTCGTTTTTCCCCCAGAATTGCCTTCAACACCCAAACTGTTGTCTTCCAAACGACTGCAATCAAACGAAAAGGGTCTCTCAAGTTAGAACATGCCCACATGCTTCGGAAATAAACATGGCTTGCAATGGAGAGATAGGAAAGACTATCGGCCACATGCCACATCTTAGGTGAGGTTCCACGAAGGGCTCACAGTCTTTGATGCGGGTTTCAAGTGGGAGGTTCTCTTGTGGATAGACTCACCTCCAAGCAAATGATGCTTGAATGAGGCTTTGTGGGGCAGGCAAGCTTTGAGGGCTTGCTTCGTGTGACCTGGCCAAATCAATGGAAGCCTTAATTAGTTGAGCGTTCGAGTGAAAGGAAGGTTAATCTTGGCGGGAAACTGGGGTCACTGGTTGTGTTATTGTTGCTGTATAGCCGCCATGTTTCTGCGGGCTCTGGCTTGCATTGAGCAATCTGAGGATCCTTTTGGGCGTCTTCTGCGGCTTACGTGTCCTTTTCTGGGCAATTGCGGGGAGCTCAGTGGCTCAGCGACTCTGCGCGATGCTTTCATGGACTGAAATGGCGGGTTCGCCAAATCTGACCCAGCTGAAAGTTCCCCTTGGCGGCCAATGAAAGACCATGGGGCTTGAGCCGAGTTTTTTTCAGGCTGTGGGACTTTCAAGTGTTCTCGCAGGAAGAAGGGCGACGGAGGTGTGGTCGTTGCTGCGGCCAGGTGCTGCTGTTTATCATCATCTACATCTTCGGGATTGGCATGGCAACCATCGCGGACGACGAGGCCGGTCGGCTGAAGAGCTGGCTGCTGGAGTAGTGACAGAGACGTCTGCGTGAAGTGCGGCTGAGACCAGGGCGGTTCCCTGAAAAGTGACAGATTCCCTCAAACATGGGGTACACCTCCCTGTGAATCAACCAGCAGTTCATGAACCCTGGGCCAACGTGAGTGTCAAGCCCGGATTTGCAACCCGGATTCTTGGACACTGCCAGGAGGAGTTTTCGACGCTGCCAGCCAGCATGTTCACAATTTTCCGCTGCTTGGCGGGAGATGGGCTTGTCGGACTTTTTAAGGATTCCCTTGAACATGTGTTGAGCATAATTTGTCAAGGAACTGGCATTTTTCTTCCAAGGCTACGAACCCAAAGGTGTACCGCCAGTTTTTTTTCCTATTTGGAGACAACGCAGATGGCCAGCACACGAGGTGTGCGGCCGGGACCGAGGTCTGGAGGGGATTTGGCACCCTCCATGGCGTGCACCCATGGAAGGATGAGCCAGAGCTTCTGTGGACGGTGTGAGCACGAGTCTCACTGAGTGTCAGTGAGTGTTTGTGCTTGTCTTTGCTTGCTTGCTTGCTTGCTTGCTTGCTTGCTTGCTTGCTTGCTTGCTTGCTTGCTTGCTTGCTTGCTTGCTTGCTTGCTTGCTTGCTTGCTTGCTTGCTTGCTTGCTTGCTTGCTTGCTTGCTTGACTTTTGTTTGTGTATGTATGTACGCCTGTACGCGTAGTATACAATATGCGGATCTTCCGAACAGCAGTTACACATCACAGAAAATCACAACAGCACTCGGATCAGTACAAAAGCAGCAGGGGGACGACTGCCACTGCCCCTTCGTATAGAGATCACAGGTGCTGCGTGAGCGTCGAAGTACACAGTACACATGTGCATCCGCTGAGCTGGTAAACCTTACAACTCTTCATGACTAGAATTCTTTTCTGCAACTGACCAGTAACAGACACGAGGGCATTCGGGATGCACTCAAGTTCCCAAAAACAACAGGGGGTCGAGGATGTTGTTTAGGGGTAACCCAGATTTGACCGTGGCTCCATGAGGTTCTAGGGGTCAGTCAGGATTCCGGGTCCCTTTCAGAGACTCCTTTGATTCTTGTAAAAGGTTCTCAAAATAGGGGAATCCACTTTTTGTGGGTGTTTCTCCTTGGCTTTCCCAAGCTGAAAAGGGTAGCATCCAAAGTAAGATGATGGGTTGGGTCAATACGAAATCAATGACTGCGAAGGGACCCAACCTTTGCTTCCAAGATACAGTCTTACAGAAACATCTTTATTTTTGGATGGCCTATTTCTCTTTTTCGTTCTCCATCAACAAAATTTGCGGTTTACCATCAAAAATAATGAACTTGAGAGGTAAACACAAGATGAAAGGTGAACAAAAGAAAGGACGGAAGGACTCCACCAAGCCATGGAGGCACAGGGTTTCGTTTGCTGCTGAGGATGCCTCACGGAAGGATGTGGCGGACTGAGCTGACTAAAGTGGTAGGGGTTGTTTCTCATCTGCCCACAAGAAACAGGGGTTCAATTTCCAACCAATCCAAACCACCAAGCAAGAATATCTTGATGTTTGACCATTCGACCAGCACAAGGTTTTGGTCAAGGTCGCTCTCTGGCCCATTGTATTCGAGTCCTTGGGAGCCCATTGAGATCCTATTTTTCCCTTTTGGTCCCTTGGTCTGGAGAACGGATCACGAAGTTCGCAGCTCCAATAGTGCGTAATCTTCGAATTGAGACTTAAGTTTTTGCCGACATGATCTATCTTGCATGCGTCTGGGATTTCATCTGCAGAATGGAGACCACTTCTTTTGTTCGTTGCATTTTCGGCTCTCTGTTTTGGAAAGAGGGCTGCCAGGAACAGCTCGTGTTGTGCTGATGTACCAAGGGTGGGGGTGTTGTTGTTTGAACAAGCATGTTCCCTAAAGCATTCGGAGGCCCTTCCAACAGGGCCCAATTCCGACACACCTGCAAACCCGTGCCATGTTCAAATTTACACCATTTCCCCCTCCCCCCCCCCCTCCCCCCTGTGTTCTGTTTTTCAGACCATTGATCTCCCGCAACATTTGGCTCAAGACGATCCGAGCGTGAAGACAAAAGAGCCATTGCAGGCCGCTTACAGGATTATCCACAAGACAATCCACCAGGGACAATCCATCCTCCAATCATCCATTACTGGCATATTGGATTCTCTCCGGAATAGATCCAGGGACCAACAACGACCTCAACTACCACAGGGTTCCAGTTCCCTCCGGGGATGGGCACCTGGGGCAGTGGGCCTCAATTCGTGGTAGCGGAGCGGGTTTTCCGCAGAGATCCAAGGGAAGATGTCATCCGATGGAGAAGGCCTCATGGAAGCCTATTCAAGTATGGCCAAAAATCCAGGCTATACGGAGGAAACACTAAATTTATCGATGACCGCCAAACAGCCGCCATCGTGCGACGGAAAAGCCAGCTGGTTCAGGTATGAAGAACTCGTGGACGACTGGGTGACCATCACAACGGTGGAAGCACCAAAGAGAGGACCTCTCCTAAAGAGCAGACTCACAGGAGATGCATATATGTACAAGGCAGTCCTCCAAAATGACCTTTTGCAAGATCCTGATGAAGGAGTCAACTATTTCAAGAACACGCTGAAGAAGTACTTTTTGAAAGGTGCGACCAACGTGTATCTGTACAGACTCCTCAGTTTCTTCAACCATAGAAGGCAGAACCAAGAGTTCCTCATTTTTACCTCAAAATTCGAAATCCTTCTCATGAGATTGAAGGCAGCATGGATGGACTTGATGCCCGTTTTCACGGCACAGTCCCCATCATTTCGACAGTCCGTACAGGACGCAAATGCAAGAACAATTGCTCGACATCAGCAAGCAGCCGGTGTTCGAGCACCGCCTCCAGCCCTGCTCAATGAGGACGATCCTACAGTCCTCAGACAGTATATCCAAGGAATGCAGGACAGACAGCGGGACGCATTTCTCTTCGGGGATAATCTTATTGCACAGTTTTTCATCATACAAAGTGAGCTGTCAGATCAGCAAAGAGAAAGACTCACAAGTGCAATGTCATTAAGAAACATCTCACTCGAAAATTACTCCTATGAGATGCTGAAGACGCACTACCATGAACTCTTCATCACGACGAGGACATCGATCCAAGATCAATCCATCCGACCTCAAGGAGGCAACCGAAGCAACACATTCTTCATCATCGAACAAGGTGAATACGAAGGAGAAGAAGGCTTCTGGGTTGAGGATGAAGAAGGACTTGAAGGATTCATGTCAAACAACGATGAAGAGACGTTCTGGGTCCTCGAGGAGAACGATGCGTTCATAGCAAGAAAAGTGTCGGGGCGGAACTTCAAGTTCAAGAAGAGAAAAGGAAAAGGAAAATCAGGAAACAAAAAGGGCAGTCACCAACGAGGTGGCTTCAAACCCTTCAGAAAAAGCGGTTCTGGCGGAAAGGCCAATATGGCCAACGAAAACTATGATCCCTACGACCAGGCATATTGGGGAAAAGGCAAAGGAAAGAAGGGAAAGAAAGGAAAATCAAAATTCCAATATCCCTATGATGGAAACAAAGGTTATCCATCCTATGAGAGTGGTAAAGGAAAGAGCGGACAGGAGAAAGGAAAATCCAAGACGTTCGCAGCCACCGCAGAAAAGACGGAGGAGCAGCCCGCCATCCAGCAGACTGCACCATCCATAGAGCCTACCTATGCCGGTTGGACAGACCAAGATTGGGATCAATCATGGACATGGAATGAACAAGGCTGGTACTCATCCCATGAGACATCCAGCACAGGACAAGCGTTAATGGCATTCCATGATGCATATGAGCATCCTGGGAAAAAGGCCATCCACGAGAAGCTGATCCAATCAGATACAGTTTCAGAACACAATCTGTCCGTAACAACAAATCACAGCCTTCTGGCAACAAAGCTGATGGCGCCTGTCATCAACCCTCAGCACAACCCGACCTATGCGATTCTGGACAATGGATGTACCAGATCTATGGGCAGCTGGCATGCAATCCAGCGTTTTACCAGGCAATCGAACCAATGAAGGACATCATCTCCTATGAGTACATCCCGGCCGAGACCAAGTTCACTTTTGCAAACGGAGAGACCGCCAGGGTAAATTGGACCCTGCATCTTCGATATCACACAACTCCTCCGTGCAGTACCAACATCGACGTCCTTGAACAAGGAACTGTACCGATCCTTCTCAGCATCAGCCAGATGCGGAACCTCTACATGACCATCGAGCACACACCTCAATGTGACAAGATCACATGCAAGGCCTTTGGCATGAACCGTCAAGCAGTTCCAGTATCCGGTACAGGACATGCACTCGTCGATCTCGCTGGAGTTGCAAGAGTGAAGGCACATGGAGAAATTGCTCACAAGGGCCTCACCAACTATGTCTATGACGATGATAACAGCATCAAATTTCCCTCCGGGGATCTCACCAGGAGCGAAACTGTTTGTGCAGCAAAATCATCCGAGACAAAGGAGGACCTAGCAACTCCTAAGATCATTGGGTCTCAAAAGCAGGACCATTGGATCCTTGACAAGAAGAACAAGCGTGTGCGCATCACGCCCCGAAAGGCGCTGTTCACACCAAATGGAGCCAAGGAATGTCCAATCAATCCTGATCACATTAGCCGAGAACGTACCACGGAAATCATTGATGCATCCGCAGGTGGAGATCCAGACATTTTGGAAGACAATTGGAGACTTACATCCCAGGCAAATAAACCAATGATTAACCTGTGGATAGGTAAGACCATTTTCACCTTCTCGGACAATTCGCTTAAGGACGAAGAAGCAGGTTCAGGATCGGCAGCAGACAGGATCATCGACAAGAGGGGCCGGTCGACTATTGAGCCAGATCCTTTCGCACCATCCTCAGAAGAACCAACATCGCTTCCGCTTGCCCTAGGCAGAATCCACAAGCGATTGTCAAATCCCGAAGAGTTGAAGAAACTCCACCTGCAGCATCATCACATGACCACAGATCAATTTCGATTTAGAACCCGAGCACTTCATTTGCCGAAATCAACATTCGATCTATTTGACAAGATCCGAAGTGAGTGTGAAGTTTGCCAAGTGGCAAAACATGCACCATCACGAAGCAAGACAAGCGGACTTCGAGCGGACACCTTTGGTGACATGACATTCATTGATCACTGTCAAGTTCCTCTTGGAACAGGAGAACACATCATTGTTTTTGTCATCCTGGATGGAGCAACAACATTGCTCACTGCAGAGGCAGTGACAACTACGCAAGAAGTCGAGAACATCACTGTCCTCAGGAGCTATTTTGACCAGTACCACTTGCAGCCCAAATCAGTTGTCGCAGATCAAGCCTTCATGACAGATACATGGGAACATTTCTATCAGTCCCTTGACATCACACCGATATCCTTGGGACCGAATAGCCAAATCGAGCTGAAGCAGCAGTTCGACTCCTGAAGGCACAACTCAAGATCATGCTAAGTTCCATCAAAGCAGGCACTGCACCTGCAACGCTGAAGAAAGTGACACACAGGCAGCTAGTGAAGGCCGCTGCAACTGTCAGGAATCAGACCGTCACCTACGGGGGAGTAACACCATTGGAGCTCGCATTCGGAAGACGACCAGCAGATCCCATCCAACTCGATGTCGCAACACCAACTCAGTTGACGATTGACAGGAATGAAGAAGAGATGACAGCCATCCAGATCAATCAGCTGTCAAAGCAAGCTTTCCAAGAAGCACGTCAATCCGAGGACATCAGACGAGACCTTGCTCAAAATCTCCGATGAGTTCAAAGCCTCTTCAGGTGAAGGACAAGGTATTCTACTGGCAGGAAGACAAATCCAAGATTCGTTCCGATGGAAGCAAGGGAGGAATATGGCTAAAAGGAAAAGTCATTTCCATTGAAGGAGCGATGGTAGGACTTGATCTTGGGGCTCGACTCATCAAGGTTAACATGACGAAGCTCAGGAAGGATGAGACCATCCCTCCGGGGAAGCCCGGAATTGACCTTCTGTTACCTGAAATCCTTGCAGAAGGAGCAACCAGGCTCCTCTGTAGATACCAAAAAAAAGGAATCATCCGCACCAGCTCCTAAGCCAAGATCCTCAGTGCCATTACGTACCGCGGGAAAAACAACTCCAAAACCTGCAGTACCTCATCCAGCAGAGAACATGTTCGTCGAGGACCTCACATCCATTCCTGAACAAGCACATTGGAATTGTGTACGTAAGGGAAAGATCCACGTTCTCGAGATCTTTGCAGGAAGTGCCAGATTCAGTCAATGCTGTCACTATCAGGTCTTAAGGTGGGGACTCCCGTGGACATCCGCACAGGATTCGACGGAATGAGTTTCAAGGGACGACACATGGTCATGGAGATCATCAAAGAGCAAGCGCCTGATGTCATCCTCATGGCACCGGTCTGTGGACCATGGTCAATTATGCA